AAAAGTTTCAAAATATGAAAGCTCCAGGTGATGATGGAATTTTCTATATCCTCATCAAAAAACTCCCAGAGAGTACCTTGTCTTTCTTGGTAAAATTATTTAACAGATGTTTCCATTTGGCATACTTTCCTGATAAATGGAAAAATGCAAAAGTTGTTCCAATTTTGAAGCCGGATAAAAATCCAGCTGAAGCTTCTAGCTACCGTCCAATAAGTTTGCTTTCTTCAATAAGTAAACTTTTTGAAAAAATAATTTTGAATAGAATGATGCTTCACATCAATACGAACTCAATTTTTGCAGATGAGCAGTTTGGATTTCGCCATGGGCATTCAACTACTCATCAACTCTTAAGAGTTACCAATTTAATTCGTTCAAACAAATCTGAAGGCCACTCAACTGGAGTTACTCTTCTAGACATAGAAAAAGCATTCGACAGTGTTTGGCATGAAGGTTTGATTGCTAAATTGAAAAAGTTTAATTTTCCACTTTATATTATGAAATTAGTTCAAAATTATTTAACTGACAGAACTCTGCAGGTAAATTATCAAAATTCCAAATCTAATCGACTACCTGTTAGAGCAGGAGTTCCTCAGCGTAGCATTCTTGGGCCTATATTGTATAACATTTTCACTTCGGACCTCCCTGATTTGCCTCAGGGTTGCCACAAATCTTTGTTCGCTGATGACACAGGCATTTCCGCTAAAGGAAGAAGTCTTCGTGTTATTTGCAGCAGACTGCAGAAATTTCTCTTCTTATTTACAAAAATGGAAGATTTCTCCCAACGCTTCCAAAACTCAACTTATAATATTTCCACATAAGCCTAGAGCTTCGTTTTTGAAACCTAGTAGTAGTCACATAGTCACTATGAACGGAGTTCCAATTTCCTGGTCAAACCAAGTGAAATATCTTGGATTAATACTTGACCAAAAATTAACTTTTAAAGATCACATTGAGGGCATTCAAGCCAAATGTAACAAATATATAAAATGTTTGTATCCTCTTATAAACAGGAAATCCAAACTTTGCCTGACGAATAAACTTCTAATATTTAAACAAGTTTTTAGACCGGCCATGCTTTACGCTGTGCCAATATGGTCTAGTTGCAGCACTACCAGGAAAAAAGCACTTCAAAGGATTCAGAACAAAATTCTGAAAATGATTTTGAAGTTGCCTCCCTGGTACAGTACTACCGAAGTACATAGAATTTCGAATGTTGAGACTTTAGCACAAATGTCCAACAAAATAATTAATAATTTCAGGCAAAAATCGTTGCAATCCTCAATTGCAACGATTAATTCCCTTTATACTTAGATAAGATTTAGTTTTAGTTTTTAGTTTTAAGATATCAATTGTTATACTGACATGCAGGTTAAAAAACCTGTTTAAAATACTGAATTGCCAAGACATGAACAATGTAAAAACACTTAGATATATATCATAACAATTAAGGCTGGTACGTTACTGCAGTAACTGGAGCACCTAGGTTAAAATGAAATGTAATTTATTTTGAAATTGGAACAAATAAAGAGTTAAAAAAAAAAAAAAAAAAAAAAAAAAAAAAAAAAAAAAAACAAAAGAGCAAATCGACGAAGAGAATCGATCATAGCGCATAGTTCCTTATGCATGCTCACTGTCGGATTGGCTTCTTCCTCTTTTATTTCTATCTCTATCTCTATCTTTATCTATCTCTATCTCTATCTTACGCAAATGAAATCGGTCAATCGGGAGCTGGTTCACGTTTGACAGAAAAGTGGTTCATTTTCGCCCCCGTATTGTCACCTCTTCTCCAGAGAGAATAGGTAGAGAGGCGAAGAGTGAAAAACCGTGGAAACGGCAGCACTCTTTTTATTATGATTCCATCCTACAAGTTCTGGCAACTGTTTCTGAAGGGCACACTTCAAGTGACTTTTTTCAACCATCTATTTGTGTTGTTTTTACCCGCGTCAGAATTATTTTTTTATCGTTATTAAAATTTAATGATTGCTGATAATGAAGTGCGTTGCGAGGTTTTGTAAAAACCAGTATGTAAGTGGATACAAAAATATAAATTCGTGTAAAAATATGTTTTTAGGCGTATTTTCCGAGTCAAACCCAAATTTCGGTTAAATTTGACAGATAGGAATGAAGACTGAACCGAAAAGTACGGTAAAGTAGCGATATTTACCAGTTCGGTACTTGAAAACCGAGAAAACTCGGTAAACTGAACCGAATATTCGCTAAACTTTCTCAAACGTCAAACTCAAAACTTCGGTTCAACTTCACGACGGAAATTTTAACCGAAACTCGGTTTTCAGCTAAACCAAATATCGTCAGCAATTTTTTCTCGCGGGTGCGCGTTGTGTTTTTTTCGCAAGACGTGTTTTTTCGTTAGTGTCACACGGTGAATTGATTTGAAAATGGAAAAACTTCTGGAGGAACTGCATGTTTGATTGAATTCCATGTAGGAGGCATTATCACGACGTGTGAGAAGTTTTTTGTTTCCCTCTAGGGGGTTAACCCTCTCTTTCCCCCTGCACAGGTGAGCCATAATTTTCCGGTTCGTCTCAAGTTTGTTGTCAATAGTTAGTACATACAAAGCATATTTATGCATTAAAACAACATCTGACAAATATAATATAAATCATGCATCTCATTAAAAAAAACTAGTTTTATTTCTGATTCGAAACATCGTAAGTTTTTGGATTTGAGCGCTGTCAAAAAGAACCGAATTCCGTGATTGCAACCGGTGAGTCGGTTTGTTTGACAGCGTTCGGTAATACTTGGGTAAACCGATGTTCGGTTATTCCTGCTTGAATTGACTTTTTGTCAACCGAGTTTTTTCGGTTAGTTTGACAGGGTGTGGGAAAAGAAACTTTACCGAACACTCGGTTGTTTCTTTTTGAACCGAACAGACTACCGAGCGTTCAGCAGATAAAAACTCGGTTGAAATTAAACCGAGTTCGGTACTATTTTCTAAGTGTGTATGCTTTTGCAAATTTTACAAAAAATTGATCTTTATACTAAAAGAATAAAGAAATAAATATCCTGAATATTACTACATTTTAAATTCAAGCATTACTTTTTATTTGTTCATGTATTTTTCTCATCCTTAAAAGTTTTCTTCCAAATATATTCGCAGCGATTACAATACTTGCCTTCACCAAATTGGGGAACATCAACTTTTGTTTATTTTGTTCGATAGGATACCAGTTTGACGGTTCGATAAGGTTTTTTTTGCTTCACACTCTTCGCCTCTCTACCTATTCTCTCTGCTCTTCTCTTAGTTTTCACATTCATCTAGTGATGGCCGATTTTCATTCGAATAATCGATTAATCGATTAACGAACTAAAAATTTAAATATTGGTAATCGGTTATTTCATTCCTCTGCCCAAGGCTGAAAATCTTTCTAATAAAGCGAAAAAAAAAAAAAATTCATTCCGATACAAGCATTAACTTCTCCAGAGGATCATCACCGATCGTTTCAAACATGTGCTGCTTGGTGGAAAAATGACAGCACAGCTAACAAAAAATAATCGATTAGTTGTTAATCGAGTAATTCAAAAATGGGACATCTCTGATTTTGGTGTGATTGTTTTGATAAAAAAGTGCGCGAGGGGGCAACAAAACCACAAAATTACCTTGCAAACGGGAGGTATACATTGGATGCAAGGAACCCTAAAATAGAAAGTTTTTCTTTCGACAGTAGTTCTTAGTATTCTTCTTTGATTTAACATTGAACATTTAAAATTTAATAAGAAAAAATAAACTTTTAAAATATAAAATTTAACATTAGAAATTTAGATGAAATGTTTAACATTAATAATTTAAAAAAAATTTCAAATGTAAAATTCTAAATTGAACATAAATTTTTCTTAAATTTAAATTATAGATTTGAAATGTTTAAACTTTTAAATATTTCAAAATTTTGCATTTGACATTTATAATTTGAAATTTTAACCATTTATATTTTATAATATGAAATTTTGAATTCAGCATTTCAAATTTCCAGTTCAGAATTTTAACATTTCAAATTTAAATTCAACATTTAACAATATAAAAAAAGAATTTTCCATGAGGGGGGCGAGTCTATCTACAATGCAGAAAAAATTGTGTTTTGCTGTGGTTAGCTGCACGCATGCTGAGTAGATAGAAAGAATATTGATGGCGATTCTGAAGATTTCCTGCAAAAAGATGATGCGCGATGCAAGTAGATACGAGAAATTAAAGAAAATTTTTCGTAAATCGATTCGCTAGTGTGAGATTTGTTGAGAATCTAGAATTGAGATTTAGATGTGTCACCCCCCTCGATTTTCCATTATTTACAGTTTGTGTTCGATTTTACATTGAGTTTTTTTAGTATACAGCAGTTTGACGGTTGTGGCACTCTCCCTTATCCTGCGTCGCGAGTGAGGTGAGGTAACTCGCTGTCACCAGTGCACAGAGGTCTAAAAGTGCCCAAACGTGCGTTTTTAGATTTTGCGAAAACGATCCTTTTAAGCCATATAGTGTCTTGGGAGAAGTTTGTGCACTTTAAAGCCCCTTCTTTTGGGCTTAGCCATTTCATGATTATTATACAAACATTTTTGCTGAATACGTCAACCTTCTATCTTTTACGTTTACAGAAATATGTGATTTTTTTGGCAAGAGCCTTCATAAGATCAATATTTTGCAAATAACTTTTCAGGAAGCAATTTTTGGACAGTAGTATGCATGTAGAGACCAATCGTAGTTCAGTCAATTTTTGATTACTACAATAGTCAAAGGACCAACCTGCCACGAGAAACAAGAACCGCTGTTCATTCAGTCAACCGATCACTACAATAATGTCCATCTTCATTAATTTTGTCTTCACTCCAAGCAAGCGCCACGTCTGAGTTCGACGTACTGTTCTGAACTGTCATACTATCTCTCACCGTGTCAAACATAGCTTTTTTAACCAAACAATACACACACACAAAATCACCATCTCTAATCCGCCTTCATCTACTTTCTTTAATTTCCAAAACAAAAAAAACAACAGGTCACGGCACCGACTACCTGAACCTGGCGCTCCGCGACGGGGGCGTCTCGCTCACGATGGGACTCTCGAACGGCAAACAGGAGATGCACATCAAACCGGCACGGGTTCGCTTCGACGACCACCAGTGGCACAAAGTCACCGTCCACCGACGGATACAGGAGGTAAACCCCCAAACCTCGAGCACTAACCTAACCTAACCTAACTCACGTAAACGTGATCGAATTATGGAACTCTTCATTCTTTATACTTTTCTTCTTTTTTGGAGGGATGCGAGGGGTGATGGAAATGTCATGACTAACTCTCGTATCGTGTTCGATATTTTTGTTTCTTTCCACGCTTTTATGTGAATTCTAAACGAACTGGAATGCTAAACGCAGATCTCATCGATAACAAGCTTCTGTCGGGTAAGTACCTACTAGTACAGTACACTCGCGTTAATCCGACGAAACAACATCAATGTTGTTTGCAAACGTATTTACCGGATTAACGGGGATGTACTGTAGTCCATAACCAAGTCAACGCTCGTAGCGATGAGTTTTCTTAAAGCACAAAATGAGAGCCAGACGACGACGACGGAACGGAACGGGGCGAAAACTTTCCCTAATTGCATCGAGAAGTTGTAACTGGGTGATAGTTTGAAGGTGGAAAGTTTTTCCCCTAAGTGCGTCGTCTGCTGTCTGCTTGGCGCTGCAGTCTGTGTCAATTTCGGAAAAGCGCGACACGTCACTGCCATCGTCGTCGGTCACCTTGACTAACAGTAATAATGATTGGAACTTTCAGCAGATAAAAAAACGAGACGATTAAAATTGCTAAGATTTCCCACCAGGAGCATTTTACCGCTCATTCCCCGAGCTCATAAGTTATTGCTCACCATCATTAATCTTGCTCGCAGAAGCAGTGAAACATAATTTATCTTATCACCCCTTTTTCACTTTCCCCCAACCCTTCCACAGCATCCGGGTGACCCCCCCCCCCCCCCCCCACCAATGATTCAACGCGTAATAAACCGCACCAAATAGGTACGCTGCTGACTGGGCTGCTGCCACTCGACAAACTCGCGAAAATAATGAGTAAACTTAATTCCCAATTAGCGTCTCATCATTTGCAAACTGCTTCTTCGTCACCATTGGCCATTCCGCCGCCACTGCGCCGCCAGACTCATCATCATTATCTTATCGTCTACTGACTGGCATGTGCAGTCCTGACGAGCCTTAAATACCTGTCAAACGACATTAGCGGAAAAGTCTATCCACGCCTGCTCAGAGCTTGTGGATGTGGAACCAACGCCGCCTTCGCACTCACTATACTCATTACCTCTGGCTGTGACTTGACAGTGAAAAGGGAAGGGGTAAATGTTTTCCTCGGAAAGGGCCTACAGAATGGGAAATGTGAACAACTTTGTACAGTCAAGAGATTTCAGTAGCTGTTGTTATTGTTGCGAAGAGCGACAGGAAGTTTACTCCCTTTTTCGAACATTGTTGCTCGCTACAAAATGGCGTGTTTTATGGCCTTTGATCCTTTGCCGTGGAAGGAAGGGCAACTTGAGGGGAAGGGCAACTCTAGACAGTGGCGTACGAAGATTAATTCTATGCACGACGTGTAAATATTTACATCATTGACAAATCTCAGGTAATCATGACATTTTAATCTTTGAAAACAATGTGAATGAAAAAAAGAGACCTCAGGATCTGTCAAAAAAAAAACCGAAAATATTTACGCTTTGTGCAGCAAAGAATGGTGAGACTCATTCTAACTAATTCAAATTTCAGCCGCCTATTCAAACTTAAATTCGCCATCCGGTATCCCAAAATGGCTTAGATATTTTGGGAAATACCAGCCATCTTGGATTTACATTTTCGAATTATAGTGAAATAAATGTGGCAGTTTCCATTTTCGGTATGAATACGATACCTTGAATCATATGAGCACAAACAAACAGACATAACTCTTAGAAGGAAATTCTTCAAAAAATATCGTCAAGCGAATTTGCACGCACCACTGCTAGACTAGCCTATTGGTCCCAAGTACATTTGTAAGCGTACCCCATTCTAGTTGAAATTCTAGTACTACACTATTTATTCGCTATGAAAGTTTGACAGATAACATGAGGGGTTCGTGGATTTTCCTATGTTTCGAGGGGTGCATCGATTGGCTTCGGACCGATGATAGTACCAGAGCTGAGTCAAAAAAATGAGCACGATTCTTATGGACCCGTATGGTCTTAGAGTTACCTCTATGCTAGCACCAAAGAAGTAACTCTAAGACTTTTGTTCAACTTTTTGGCTCAACTCTGGTACTACCTTCAGTCCCAAGCTAATCGATGTACCCCTCGAAACATAGGAAAATCCACGAACCCCTCATTTTATCTGTCAAACTTTCATAGCCAATCAAAACAAACATAGTGTAGTACTAGAATTTCGACTAGAATAGGGTACGCTCATAGATGTACTTGGGACCAATAGGCTAGTCAAGTAGTGAGCCAATTTAAACCGTTAGTTTCCACCGGTTGCTAGCACCCTCTATTGTGCACATTTCTAAGCATTGATTTGCAGCCGGCGCATCCCTCGGACATGCATTTTTTTTCACTAGTTGGTTTTCCCTCGATCTGTCAACACCTCCGCTGTGTTGAATAAAAACAAAAACAGATGCAAGTCTGTGATGTCAGTTCTACGAAATTTTCCGTAGATCTTTAGAATTGATTGAATTTTGCAGGAATAAGGATCCGTAGGAGAAGTTCACAGAATCGTAGTCTTTATTTTTTAAGGACTCTAAACAAAGTGTGATTTTTCTTTTGCTGGAAGCAAGTTTTAAAACGTGGTAATGCATCACTAATGAGTGTCCCTCATCAAAATTATTTGTTCAAAAAATCCTGATAGAGATTCCAGTTGCTCTCGAAGGATACTCTAGACTCCAGAGTGATTCCTGACATTCCCGGAGATGATTCTTGTAGTTCCCGATGGAGATTCCGGACATTACCGACGGAGATTTAAGACGTTTTCCATACGTCCCCGAAATGAGTCCGGACGTTCCTGACGAGAAATTCAGCAGTTTCCGGTGAAGATTCCAGACGACCCCAAAATGATTCCGGACAATCCCGACGAGAATGTCAGCAGTTCACGATGGAGGTTTTAGATATTTCTCTACGGGTACTTCAGGCTTTCGAAAGTGATTCCAGCCATTTCCGATGGAGATTCCAGCAGTTCCCGATGGAGATTTCAAACGTTCATGAATTGATTCCGGGAATTCCAGACGTTCCTAGTGGCGATTCTGGCAGTTCCCGAATAAAATACCAGACATTCCAGAAAAAATACCGATAGAGATTCCAGACGCTCTCGAAGGGTACTCCAGACTCCAAGGTGATTCATGACAATCCCGGAGATGATTCCTGTGGTTCCTGATGGAGATTCCAGACATTCCCGACGAGATTTTCAGCACTTCCCGATGGAGATTTAAGACGTTCTCTATGCGTCCCCGAAATGAGTCCGGACGATCCTGACGAGAAATTCAGTAGATTTCAGACATTCTTGATGGATACTTCAGGTCATCGAAAGTGATTCCAGCAGTTCCCGATGAATATTTCAAACGTTCATGAATTAATTCCGGGAATTCCAGACGTTCCCAGTGAGGATTCTGGCAGTTCCCGAAAAAAAATACCAGACATTCCCGATGAAAAAAAAATCCTGATAGAGATTCCAGACGTTCTCGACGGGTACTTCAGACTTTACAAAGTGAATCCTGACATGCCATATGATGATTCCAGCAGATCCAAATGGAGATTTCAGACGTTCGCGAATTGATTCCGAGAATTCCAGACGTGGGGTTTCTGGCAGTTACCGAAGAAAATACCATACATTCCCGACGAAAACAAAATCCTGATAGAGATTCTAGACGTTCTCGGAGGATATTCCAGACTCCACAGTGATTCCTGACATTCCAGGAAATGATTCCTGTAGTTCCCGATGGACACTCCGGACATTTCCGACGAGATTGTCAGCACTTCCCGATAGAGATTTTAGACGTTCTCCATACGTTTCGAAATGATTCCGGACGTTCCTGACGATAAATTCAGCAGTTTTCGGTGAAGATTCCAGACGACCCCGAAATGATTCCAGACAATCCCGATGAGGATGTCAGCAGTTCCCGATGGAGGTATATCCGACGGAGATTTCAGACGTTCTCTACGGGTACTTCAGACTTTGCAAAGTAATTCCTGGCATTCCCTATGGATATTTCAGACGTCAATGAATTGATTCCGAGAATTCCAGACGTTCACAGTGGGGATGCCGGCAGCTCCCGGAAAAAAAATACCATACATTCCCGATGAAACCAAAATCCTGATAGAGATTTCAGACATTCTCGAAGGGTACTTCAGACTTTCCAAAGTGAATCCTGACATTCCCGATGATGATTCCAGCAGTTCCCAATGGAGATTTCAGATATTCTTGACGAAAAAAAAATCCTGGTAGAGATTCCAGACGTTCTCCAAGGTTGGTTAGTTGGTAGTCCTTATTAAGGAGAGTCAGACGTTCTCGAAGGGTGCTCCAGATTTTCAGATCTGATTCCTGACATTCCCAGAGGTGATTTCTGCAATTCTCGAAGGGGATATCTGACCCGAAGTGATTCCAGACATTCCCGACGATGATTTGTTCAAAACCGAAATTCTGTTTATGAAAATGTATTCACTAGAAAACAGTAAACATATACGCCTTTTTAATAGAAACTAAACGATCGATTCAACCTCTGGTGATGAATAGGAAAACGTCAAAAAGAGTGTTGTGAGCAGAAATTTCTACCGTGAGACAGGAAACGGAACACTTTTTTACTTTTCCTGATAAATTGATTTATCAGAGATGCTCCAAAACTTGATCTACAATTGAAAAATTTAATTCTGTAACGTTTTTGCAAAGATCCTGCTGGTGTTCAGGAATATTTTTGTTGAGAAAAATGGAAAATTCGAAAAGTGCCTTGGTGGTTATGATCTTCCGGATTTCTTGTGTGTGAATAGTTAAGGTACAAATCAATTCAGATCTGTGGAAAATCGTACAATAAGACAATTACCGATGGAAATTGGCAAGATATTGAATTAAAAATGCTTTAATTTGCGTTGTGAAAAATAGTTATTCTGATGTAAACAAACGATTTGGTTGACGTTTCTTCTCGAACTCGCGAGGCGCACTCTACGTTGGTGGTGCATTAAAAAGGCCTATTTTCATGAACAGAATTTCAGTTTTGAACGAAAAAAAAACTTGTTTTGCTCAGGAATCAAACCATACTAAAGTAAGCTGCTACGGAAGACATACGGTGATGTTCAAGCTTAATCAACCCCTCCCCAATATTAGATTCCAGCTCAGTGCCTTTTTGGAATCTACATCGGGAACGTCTCAAGTCCAAGTCCAAGTTGGGAACGTCTGGAATCTTCGTCGGAAACGTTTGGAATCTCAGCTAGGAATCGCTGAAAACCCCGTAGAAAATGTCTGGAATAGGCACCGTGAACATCTGGAACCTCCGTCGGGAATGTCTAGAATTCAAGTAAGATATCTTCGTTGAAAACTTATTGAATCTTCTTCGTTGGGAACGTTTGAAATCCCTCTCGAGTACATTCGGAATATCTGTTACTCTGTTTGGAATCCCGTAGGGAACGTCTAGAATCGTCGTTGGGAACATCTCGAATCCCCGTTGAGAACGTTTAGAATCTCAATCAGGAACCTCTGAAATCCCTGGCGAAAATATCTGGAATCCCCGGCGGGAACTTCCAAATCGTCTGGAATCCTCGTCCAGAACATCTCGAATCTAAGCTGGGAACGTCTGGAGTCTCCGTTGTGAACGTCTGGAATCCGCTCCGGAAATGTTTGCAATGTCCGCTGGGAATGTCTGCAATTTCTGTCGGGAACGAATGGAATCATCTTCGAGAACAACTGAAATATAGATATGGAACGTCTGGAGTCCCTGTCTGTAACGTCTAGAATCCCCATCGGAAACGTCTGTAATATGCACCAGAAATGTCTGCAATTTCCTTAGGGAACATCTGGAATCTCCGAATATTCGGGATTCCTGTCGGCAACTTCTGAAGTCCCCGTTGAGAACAGTTGGAATCTCAATAAGGAACCCCAGGAATCCCCGACGAACATGTCTAGAATACCCGGCACGAACGTCCAAAACCTTCACTGAGAGGGTCTGGCATCTTCGTCCTGAACGTCTCGAATTTAAGTTGGCCATTTTTGGAATAATCTTCGGCAACGTCTGGAGTCCCCGTTGAGAACGTCTAGAATCCAGTCCAGAAATGTTTCCAATGTTAGGAACCTCTGGAAACCAGGGAAAAATTAATAGGTTGCTTTGATATTTCATCTACATGAAGGTTTCAAAATGGGGTTCAGTTAATAGTTCCCTGAAAAAAATTCCAGCGTCTCGACTTCTGAGTTGGTTAATATCTAGATTCACAAACAAGAGCGTAACTTCCTGTGCACGCGCCTGACAGACACTTTCATACAAATAACAAAGCTACTCTCTTTCAATCCATTCCACATTCTTTACAAAGTGAGAACACAAACACCCCTTCTGCTGTGTGTATGTGTTTCTATTGATCCCACGGATGAACGGATCACAAGGCCCAGTTGACTCACTTCACCTACTAGCTGCGTTCTCAGAAGGATAAAACCACCCGACCATCAGCCGGCGCGGGAGTGTCGTTCAAGGGTTCAACAAAAGCGATGTAATCGCTAGAAGAATTTGAGCTACACAATAACAAAGGAAGACCTTTCCCCGGAAAGTGGAGAAACTCACATGAATTGATGTGACCCTCTTAAACTTGCTGGCTGTACTCGGGCTTCATGCAAGGGAAAATTGGTCTCATTTGTCGTCGGCGGTTGTTCTTTTCCAATTCTCCAATCGATTCCGTCCGGATCCGGACGGTAAAAGGCGAAAGTTAAATTAATTTTCCGATTCCGACAATGATAGGGGTGGGTTCGATTTCCTCCTCTCACGGAATTTGAGGTTGGGACTGAAAAGCAATCTAATTTAGATGTCAATTTCGGTGATGGGATTTGTAATGTGATAGTGCGTAGTTTGGGGTGTGGTGGAATGGAACTGGAAGATTGGCCATTGCTGTGGGGCCGAGATGAGGTTCTTTGACAGATCGAGTGATTAGGTTTGGGATTCTGAACTGACTGCTTCGATTGAACCAGTACTGTCGCTAAAGCAGTCAATCGAAGCTAGCGATAAATAGGGTTTCGCCCTCTGCTTCAGACGTTCGACCTAGTATAGGAGAGATGCGCATTCAAAACAAACGGCCTTGGCAACCTATGACTAAGCGGTTTCTAACAACACTGCCAATGAAATCAAGCTGTGCACTCCTCGATTGGCTCTGGATTTGACAGTTCGCTTGGGGTTATTGTACTCACAAGAACTTTAAACCATTCCATCAAATTCAACGACAAACAAATCCAAAAACTCCATTCCGGAAAATCATCTACCATTTCAAATTTGAAAGAGCTATGAAGGCAACCATTTGTAAAATGCAATTGCTGCATGCCCTTCCTAAACCACTACATCTCTCGAAAACTCCCGGAAACTGCAAATATAGTTAAAATCGGATTCGACCACCAACTGGAAGCCAAAAATTCCATCGCTTCGACTGCATGCTGCAGAGACGAGCAGCAGCAGCCCAGCAGCCCCATAGTTATAACCGAGTTAAATTGTTCGAAAAAGAACCACCAAACTTTGTTACAAACCGCGCCGCCATCGCCATCGCCACCACCCAGATAGGGCTTCCTTCATCCTCCTGCTGAGGACGACGCGAGTTTTCCTATGATGAAGTGAATAAAAATGCAAATAACGTCATAAATTAAGTGGGTAAAAAGAGGGGCAGCAGAGGTGGGGGGGACGTACGTTCAAACTTTTCGCCTCCCGGTGTGAGTAAAAGTTGCTGCTACACAGCGCACAGCTTCCCAGTAGCTTTCCGGAATTGAACAGACTGCCGAAAAAAAAAACATCTAATTCGGAAACTTATTTGCTATTCGAAGAATTCTTACCGATTTGGAAATACAAATTCTTCCATTTTTTCCTATCCATAGCTGGTAGCCGTGGTGGACGATGTTTACACTGACCATTCGCACATTGCCGGCAAGTTTACGATGCTCTCGTCGTCCCGGGTCTACGTCGGTGGTGCAGTAAACCCGCGGGCCCTGCTGGGAGCCCGGGTTCACAACAACTTTGTCGGATGTCTACGAAAGGTAAGTGAGGTAATTTATGTCCAGCCCAAATGACTTGCTAACTTGTTTTCTTACTTTAGGTGGAATTTTCGGCCGATACCCTCCGGTTGAACCTGATCGACTTGGCCCGGACCGGTTCGAAGCTGATACAGGTGGCCGGACGGGTCGACTACCAGTGTCCGAGCGGGGATCCGCAGGATCCGGTGACCTTCACTACGCGCGAGTCCTATCTGGTAAGTGGATCAGCACTATTATTTTAAAATCTTCCTTTAGGCATTAACTTTCATGACGAATGAGGTTTAAACGGATCATACTGACCCGAATTTTGTACTCGGTTTCGATAGGGTTTTTGTAACTAAATCTATTAGGGTAGAGAACAACTTCGGCCTAATCGCCCATGGTGGGCCTATCGAGCAGAAAACATCACATAAATCCATGATTTCAGACTTAACAAGTCAATTATGCGTTTGGTACGGTACTTTAGTTCAAAAGCTACCGAGCGAAGTCAATGAGAACGGGTAATATGAATGTTTGCACGCATTATTCTCAAAAACAAGAGAAGCGCTCCGACCGAATCAATTTTTATCTTCATCCGATAGGCGCCAAATTGAATTCAATGGCGTTTGAATGGCGTTTCAATGCGTTAGGCCGAATTTAGAATCCGTAGGCCGAGTTTGGAGTCAAGAAGCAGTGTTAGATTTTTAAAAAAATATCTCAGCAATTTGTTCCTATGCTAATACCATAGAGGTACCATACATAGGTTATTACACTGTTACTGAAAAGTCCCCATTAATGATTTTTTACCCATTCAATGGGTTAACCTACTTTACTTCAAAATGGGTGAAATTGTACTCATTAATGGATACTATAAAGTTAGAGTGTACACCGATTCTACTCCTGTCATTTTTTGTATACCCGACACGCATCAATATATTGACGCGAAAGGGAATTATTGACAATAATATTGATGATGTGAATTCAGAAATATTGTCAATCTCAATGTATTGACGTCAATATAGAAGGTATTGACAATACGATTATTGTCAAATAAACGAATAGATAGAGCTGGAATTAGGTCCTAACAGCTTTTGTAAACAATGATTTCTCTCGTTGATTTCTAGATAATCCTACACGCCCACACAAACCAAAATATCCATCGGGTAGGGGAAGTCTTGCCCCACTCGATGGTGATGTCGATTTGCCAGATAGAGTCATGACTTTCGAGAAATCATCGAGAGAAGTCAATGTTTAAATAAGCTGTTATGCTCTAATTCCAGCTCTATCTAGAAGTTTTCATTGTCAAAATTCACCAATTTTCAAACTTTAAAACAAAATAATTATGCACCTGTGATCTCGCCTGTGATCTAAAAATCAGATAAAGTTTATGATAACCACATTAAATGCAATCGAAAATGCAACGACAATTAAATCTTCGGTTTAACATGCTAACGGCGGATTGTTGCCTCTTGCTTACGAATGTTGCATCCGTGGGAATGAGTTTCTGAGCCTCTGCAAATTCCTGTCGAAGAAACGACTTTCCACCCCTGTTCCCACCTCGTAGGATCTCAGCGGGAACCGTAGAAAACACCCCGAAGGGACCGACTCCTAAGCTCAAGCTTGTGTTGGTTGTTCCATGTTGGGGAAAGAGAGCTGCTGCCGAGATAAGAAGCTATCAGGATCCTCTACACAACATCAAATGCAAGTTTTTGGAGCTGCATGAGTTCCGGATTTGCCACGACGTGCCAAAACCCGCATGAATTCAAATCCTGTCTGGCTCGTGAAAAAAAAATACTCCCTTCTGCACTATTTACTTTAACGATTCTGATGACGTCACTTTGGCCTACTTCGGTTGATGTTTACTCTCTAATGAGTTAGCCTGGTATGCAAGTAGGCCGTGGGGTTGTGACAGAAGTTTGTCCAGCCACTTAAAGTTTAGTAAACCGAAACATGGCTTAGCTGAAAATAACAATATTTGGAAACCTGTTAACCTGTTTGTACACACACAAAATAATCGTTAATAGAATTAATATTGGTTGAATTAAGTATATTCATTGGTTCATTTTGGTAGAAAGTCCCGAGGAAAGTCCAGAGCTTTCAATATAAAAAACGGGAAACTTGTCAAATAAAAAGTTGACATTTTCCGGTGGAACAACCACAGGAAATCCTTTGTTTCGACTGATGCGGTGTTACACCGGCTGTGGACGATGGTTCCCAATGCAGATGGCACTGGCAGCAGTGTCCTGCTTCACGGAGGTAACATAGAGGTAACTCTTAGACCAAAAGGTCCCGAAGAAACGTGCTCAACTTTTTGCCTCAGCTCTGGTACTCTCTTCGGTCCCAAGCTAATCGATGCACCCCTCGAAACATAGGAAAATCCACGAACCCCTCATATTATCTGTCAACCTTTAATAGCGAATCAAACCATGCATAGTGTAGTACTAGAATTTCGTCTGGAATGGGGTACGTTAATCGATTTGCTTGGGACCAATAGGCTAGTCAAGTATTGAGCCAATTTAAAATCGTTAGTTTCCACAGGTTGGAGGTAATCTGTTTCGTCTATATGGTTGTCGAAAAACAATGTGAGATAAATTATTTTATCAATACATAAATCCATTAAACCAAAAATGATTTCAACGATTCACAGATTCTAGCTTATTTTTGGTACTTGGATGTCCCAATTTTTCTGCACCACACGGTAAGAAAAAATTCCTCAATATTGAGTTTAAAAAAGTTAACCGTTTGAGTGAATCAGAAAAGTGACGTTGGTTAAAATTTAGTCATCTATTGAGTAATAATACATGAATTAAATTTAAGTTTATTTTCTTTTAATCATTGTTCAGCTCAAAACGTAATATTTTGCATTATCACTTTCCGTATTTGTTTAAAAGTTACATGTTCGTGAATTGTGTTGCATAAAGTAATTAACGAAGAATATCTTGAAATATTTATCATGTCCTTCATTTAACTAAAACACGCTGCAATCGAGGAAGAATAAAGTCCCAAATTTATTCAAATGTTGCCAAAACTAGCTCTAAAGTTCGATGAATTGATTCATAGTCGGACAAATCTATTTTATCGATTATATCGGATACAATCGAGCTTAAATCTCTAAAAACGGATAATATCTGTTTGTATCGTTCACATCTCTGTTAAAGCATCACATCTCTATAATTATCATGACAAGTAACGGTGACACCCGTTTGTTTATAAGAAAGGAACATCGTGAAATCTCGACCAACAATACAATAAGCTAAGCGAATAAGCTTTTGTAATCAAACTTTTAATGCTCTTTCCTCGTGAACCGAAGGTTTTCTTACCAAACCAACAACACCATCAGGTAGGGAAAATTCTCTGCTATTAGATTGTCTAGGTGAGCTTCGTATGCGAGATAAGGTCATTACAATTTGTTTGATCCGCCCTTGTGTATTGTTGGTCGAACTCGAAAATCTTTGCCCTAAAACAAATCTGTAGATAGAGCTGGAAGTAATGCGTAACAGCTTTTGTAAACAATGACTTCTCTCGATGATTACTAGAAATTACAGGCACGCCCACACAAACCAACATAACCATCATATAAAGGAAGCCTTCTAGAAATATTTTTATAAAAGTGGAACCACAAACGAAGTGATTTGACGCACTTACATTTACAATTTTCGAATGTACCTCACGGCAACACTATCTACTCATATGTACTAGATTAAACTAGGGGGTACCGCCTGTTATCTCTTTTTCTCTAACGAAAATTGAAAGGGAGAGCCTGTTGTCAAACAGCATGTCATTATATCGCTTCTTTTGTATAATGAAAGACCATAGGCCAAAATGATTAGGGATGAACACATCGGGTTAACATTTGCTTACAAGTAAACGATGTTGAGCTGTCAATGACTCGCGCTTGTTGCAATTGTTGCTACAGATTTCTTCAGTCCGTGCTAGAAGCCTAAGTCACAGTCATTCGCGACCGAGAAGACATAGACATCGTTGTTGGACGCCAAACAGAACCCGGCCATACTCGGTATGCTGGTATACATTCACTCCTCCGTAGCGGAACTGGAAGGATCCACCCAAGCTGCCGGATATCAGTTTTGTCTGCTCCAGCTTCTTCTTATTATTCTGCAGAACCAGACAGTGCGAGTACTGGTCGTGTTTGCCAAACCAACCGGTGGAATACTAATCTGAAAGCCGATTTCTTAGGCATGTTGAGTTTGTCGCAGTAGATCGTCACTTGCCGCTGCACTTTCATGGAGCGGATTACAATCGCCGTGGCAGTAGTTTCGTCGTACAGATCGATCACTGGATCGATATCAACCCGATAGGTATGGCCGGCATGCTTCGCGTAGTGACGCTCGCTCATGTCACGGGGAATCCTTTCCGAACAGGCGGCGCATTGAAACTTCTGTACGAATCGATCGGGACATAGGATTTGATGTCACGCTTTTGTCTCTTGCTGCCTCGACTGCTCAGCCTCTTCTTATTCATCATTCAAAACATTTTCCGGTACGGGTGCGGGTAGTGGATGTCCCTGTCGAATTGGTTGATTAGACGAGATCATCGTCATCGACAAGTACCAGTTATTAAACTTTCCAGTTATCATGCAGATAAAGTTTTCAACGGAGTAATCTCTTCCACCTATGCAGCACAAGCTCGGTTAACAAGCTGCGGCAAGCTTTTACGTCGATGCAAATGGGAAATTGGAATTCCTTTGGTTTGTTTTTTTTCCGTCGATCTTGTTTTCCGTGCTGAGCACCAATGCTACCGACGTGCCAGGAAGGCAGCTCCCACACCTGGACCCTACCTATCGACCCATGAACTCATGAACCGGGGACCAACGGCTTTACTTCCCATCCGAAGGAAGGCGTGATCAGAGATGTTATGCCTCAGAACATCCCGGCGGCACCGACTGGGATTGAACCCAGGCCTGCTGGGGTGAGAGGTAATCACGCTTACCACTACACCACCGGCGCCGTTAAAATTGGAATTCAATCTGAAATTGAAAACCAACCCTAATAAAATTGTTATGGTTATTTTGCTTAACGACGTGTTCGGGGTATCATCCAAACCATTTGTTGAATAGTTTTATTATTTGGGTTTTCGTTCATGTATGGTAGTTTTTTATTAGGGAAACAGTAAAAAAAAAAAGTTGTTGCATATATTACAGCAGATAAGCTGCACATAACATATACACATTAATCCAGTCAGTAATGTTTTACTGGGTTTTTGAATTGCGGACTGTTCG